AGTTGGGGTTTGCTCTATTTTTATAGATAAGGAAAGTGAGGCTCAGGGAGATGGGGGGCCACCCCACTTGGGAAAGAGTGGTGTTGCTAGCTCCAAATCCGGAATCTTGGGTCTGCACAGGCTGCTGGTGGAAGGGAGCCACTCCTGGCTGGGGTGAGCTGAGATACGGTGTCTACCTGCAGCTGACTCCCTGAGGTGCACACACAGCCTGCTCCTGCTGCTCTGCAGGAGACACTCTGGAGCAGACCACTGAGCGTCCCATTCGTGTATTTGTTTCCCTTTTCTGTTGCTGTGCATTTTTTACCTAGAAAAGACAGACGGTTTTCTTTCCACATCGCCCCACCCTAGGTACTCAATGAACTGGCTCCACTTGCCTATCTCTAAATGAGGATACCACAGCAGGTCATGCAGTCTCACAGATGACTCTGAAGCAGCAAAAAAACAAAAAAAAAAAAAACCAAAAAAACCAAAAAAACCATGAGAAAGCTGTGTCCTAAGCCAGCTGGGGAATTGCGGGGACAGGGTGGCACCAGAATTGTAATTATCACCGCAAGTAAAGGAGCCTCTACTTAGCTACTCACACGAGGTGGCTGCACCACTTTACAATCCCATCCAATGATGTTATGGATCACCTCTGGCTGTGCCCTCAGGTACTCATAGGTGGGGCTTTGGAAGGTGGCCGGATCGTGGCTGTGCGGTACTGGGTCAGCTCACTGACTGGCTTAGCATAGCTTTGGGTGTGGATCACGGTCCCCAGGAGAGGGAAGACCTTCCTTGGGCGTGGTGGCACCAGCCAACAGGCTTGAAGCCTGGATGGAATAAAAAGGGAAAGAAGGAAGTTGCCTGCCTTATGATGAACTGTTTTCCCTCTGCCATGCCTCCCTGCCTTGTAACTAGACTGTGAGCTGAAAGCTCTACAAAGTGTGAACAAAACAAAACAAAACTTTGATCCTTTAACTTGTGGACATTGGGCATTTTGTCCCAGCAAGAAAATAACTACGATAAATAGTGTACAAAGGTTCCAATCTTTCCACGTCCTTGCTGGTACTTATTTTCAGTGTATTTAAAAGGTACTTATCAAACAGCCAAAACATGTCTCACTGGGAACTGCACTTGCTGAGTCTCTTTGGTTAATCTTTTCCTGTGCTTATTGGGCCACTTGTATCTCTTCTTTAGAAGAAATATCTATTCAGGTTCTTGATCTACGTTTTGAGATTTCAGATTTGATTTATAGAACTTCCTTATATGTTCTAAACATTAATTTCCTATCAGATATTTGGTTGGGAAGCACTTTTCCCATGATGTGAGTGGCCTTTTGTCTTTCAGAGAGACTAGTGCCCATTTCAGGTACCAGGGGCTGAACTTAGTGCCTTCATGCTGTGCTACATCCCCAGCCCTTTTATTTTTTTTGCGGAACCGGGGATTGAACTCAGGTCCCTGCGCTTGCCAGGGAAGCGCTTATTCCACTGAGCCATCTCCCCAGCCCCCTATTTTATTTTGAGACAGGGTCTTGCTAAGTTGCTAAGTTGCCCAGGCTAGGCTGGAATTTGTGATCCTTCCGCCTAAGCTACTTGACTGCTAGGATTACAGGCGTGCACCACTGCACCTGACTTTGCATTCTCTTAATAGTGTTCTTTGATGCACCAATGTTTTGTATTTTGATTGTTAAATTAACTATTTCTAGGGCCAGCCAAATAGCTCAGCAGATTAAAGCCCCTGCAGGCAGGTGCAGGGGCCAGGGGTTTGATCCCTGGGTCTGCCAGGCCTGCTGGGCCTGCTGTGCGGGCCCCACACCTGGGGTGCATTGAGACTTGGGGTGGTGGCGCGCATCTGTAATCCCAGCTCTTGGGAGGCTGTAAACAGGACAGTCAGTATGAGTCCGATCTAGTAGCGAGACCCTGAACACCCTGCAGACCCTTCCCTAAAGTACAAAAACAAAAACTATTTCTTCTTTTGTCACCTTTGCTTTTGGAATCATATCCAAGAAATCACTGGCAAATGTCATGACGCATCTTCCCCAGTCTCTATTTTTTTAAAAAAAGAATTTTATTTGACACACAAAAAAATCAGAAGGAATCCATACACTATAAAACGAACCATAATAATGGGAACAATCTTGTGTCACACCATTCACAATATGACTGCCCTCTATTGTCTTATCAGTACTTTCTGGTTTACAAAGCTATGTTTATATCCATGCCCTTATTTGATTTGCACAATAAACCATGTCCATTGGAGTAGCAAAGCCCTTCACAGGACTGGGCAGAAGGGGAGGGTGTGCCACAAGGTAGGGTACCGGGCCCACAGGGCTTTCGACAGTCTAATATGGGGCAATCTGCTCACCTCGGAGAGGGTCCTGCTAGCCAGCCTCGGGGCTCTCCCCTCTTCTGAGCAGCCTGATCTGCACCATGTGCCTCTACCTGGCATTTCCATCTCTGACTTTGATTGTAAATTGGTGCCATCTCTGCCCCAATGATGGTTTCTCAAGGACAGGCAGAGCTTTCTTGGGGGGTCTGGGCAAAACAGCATGACTCATGGGGACTACTGTAATGTACAGAACCAGGAGCCCCTGAGAGGTCATCTGGCCTGATTTTGGCATCAGGACGAGGAAAGAGAGGTAGTGTGAGGGTGGCACAAAGCCCCAAACTCAGTGGAGTCTGGCCTTGGTTGTAGTCCAACAGAGCGAATTCCTCCTTAAACCTTTCCACCTTTCAGAAGAAAAAAGATAGGCGGCAGAAACGTGCTCCTGCCTGAGCCTTCTGGGTCCCTGTTCTGAGCTGCCAAAGTGAATCCCGATCACCCACCGTCCTGCAGCATTTCAGCACACAGGAAACCCAGCTTCCAGGCAGTGATGTTCCACTGGTTCTATGGCTAACATGAAGGTGGCAGACTACAGCCCAGGCCCTGCAGGCAGTCAGTCAGTGGCTCATGACTCCAGTGGTCCCTGTGACCCTCTTTCTTGGACGCTGGGGATTCCTAGTGAGGACTCTGCGAAGGCCACAAAAATAAAAACACCATGCAAAGAGCCAGGCAAGCATGAGCATGTGCACTTTTCTTGAAGTCAGTGACCTTAACGGCTTGTCACAGCTCACAGATGAGAGCCACTGAGGCCAGGTAGTCTTGGGATAAAAGGGAACCAGCTGAATAGTGCTGGCTGATACAGGAGATGGGAGTGGTACAAGTGGCTGGGGGAAGTGAGGGGGACTTGTGAAGTACTGGATCCCAGGGCCATGCCAGGACCCAGCATGTAGGACTTCTCCAGAGCTTCCAGCAGATGCGGAGGGCATACAAATGAGCAGCCATCATGGAAAGCTGTTACGAGGGAGTTTGCACGGTAGCTTGCACCCACATTTCTCAGGTGAGGCATGTTATAATATATATATATATATATAATCTTTTATTTATTTGGTACAGGGTCTCACTACGCAGCTCAGACTCATAGAGATCCTCCTGTCTTGGCCTTGCTCTGGGATTGCAGGCATGAGCCACGATGCCCAGGGTTCTGGGACTGGCACTACAAGCGGTACCAGGGATCGAAACCAGGTCCTTGTGCTTGTCAGGCAGGTGACAAGACCTCTGAGCTATCTCCCCGGCCTGAGGCTTTTTTTTTTTTCATTTGTTTGTTGTGTTTTTGTGGTACCAGGGATTGAACTCAGGATCTTGGCTTGCAAGCCTTATTCTACTGAGTTATCTCCTGGGCCCTGAGGCATGTATTTTTATCACTTTTATCCTCTTCCCCACCCCACCCCCCAACTTTGCTCTGCAGAGCTGGCTTCTCCCATACTCACCCCTCACTTTTCAAAAAAAGGTTATAGCTCCATTATTGGCTTGTCTCATCCAATTCTTTGTTCAAACCAAGACCCTGGAATACTTTTGATTGCTGAGTCATTTCTAAAGAAACCACCCTAAAACAGATGGCTGAGGAGGCTGGCCAGGGTCCAGGCTCTGCCTAGGGGCAGGAATTCCCTAGGCCTCCAGAAGCAGCCCAGCCCACTCACTTTGATTTTGACTGGCTTGTATGGTTTCAATCTCTGTTAAGACTGAAGATGACAGATACTTGACCCTATTACTAAGAATTTTAGGGTTTTTCTTTTTAAAAAAAAATTAGAACTCTAGATTACCAAAGCTGGGAAAATCCTCTAACCGAATTTCCCCTTCTTTTTACAAATGTGCAGGGCAGGGTGGTGAGGGGTGAAGCCTCCTCAGGTGAGCAGGTGTGGGGCACAGACCCTTCAGTTCTGCAGCCAATGGCCAGGTACCAGGTGGGCGGGGTGCGCTGACCGCGGCCTTTCTCCGAGCTCACCAGCGATCGGGCCAGGCCTGGAGCTCACCAGGAAAGCGCCCTGCCCCGCCGGACTGCCCTCAGCCTCAGCTCCCTTCCAAGGAGCCCACCCATCCCGTTTGCTGCTGATATTGCTCAGCCTCCTGGTGGACACGGCCAGTCTTAAGTTAACCGGAAAGTTACTAACCGGCACTGCTCGCCACCCTTCCTCCCCCGCCCGTCCTTCCGGCAGTCCACACCTGCCAACTCTGCCGTCCTGGCACAGGAGGGCTTCTTGGAAGCGGCGACCAGTGTCTAGCCTTGAGCTCTCCATGCTGTTCAGAGTGGAACGCCGAGTGCCAGAGTAGAGCCCCGGGGCTGCAGGGCACTGGCGGGAACCAGGTAGGCTTTTCCCTGGGAGGTGGGGGCGGTTGCTGGGGCTGGAACAAGAGCAACAGGAAAACAGCACCACGGAAAAGCAGCGCCCAACTAAGCGGCGCAAAAACGCTGGCGGAGTCCACAGGTTCGGAAGTGACGACAAAGCCCGCCCCAGGGCCGGCCCCGCCCCTCCCCGCAGGCCCCGCCCCCGACGGTCCCTGCGGGCCGCGCGCGCGCTGGCCAGTCCCGCCCTCAGGCCCCCGTCCGTCCACTCAGGCCCCGCCTCGATATTTCCCCGCCCATAAAGGCTCCGCCCCTCCAGGCTCCGCCCCTCCAGGACCCGCCCCGTGGGCGGTGCTCACTGCGGACGCGGCACCCGGTGACCCGCCCAGAGCTAGGCTGCCGCGGGGCTGAAGCGCGGGGTTAACGCTGGGTGACCCGGGCTGCCGAGCGCGGGCGTCCAGCTGTCTGCGGGGCAACCATGGCGGAGGCCGCGCCGCAGCACCTGTCGCTGCCCTCGGGGCTGCTGGAGTTGTGCGCGCTACTGGGCGCTCCTCGCGACAGCCTTCGCAGCCTTGAGCAGGTAAGGGGCCCGTGGGGAAACTGAGGCAGAGCAAAGGACGATGACCCGAGAGCGGGGTCAGGCCTGGCGCATCCCAAATAAACGCCCTATTTGGGAGGTGCTCAACGGGGCTGGCGCGGCCTCCGACGGCTGTAGCACCCCCTTCCTCCCCTGTGCCCCGGGCCGCTGGCGTCCGGGTCCCAGGGGTCCCAAACCTTCTGCGGGCCCCGTGCCATGCTCCTCACCCTGTGTCCACGAAGCCCAGGAAGCCCTGGGACGGGCCCCACGCCCCTGCTGGGTGGGGGTCGGTGCGCCCAAGGTCAGAGCAGGTACTGTCAGCCAGACATGGGCCGAGACCAGCAGCTGTTCACCAACGACGCCGAGAGGGAGGTACCATCACTTCTCCTCCCCGGGGACCTTCTGGGGTCGGGGTTAGCTGGATTTGTACCCAGCGGTGACCATGGTGCGGAGTGCTTGTGCGCGCTGGAGCGTTTCTCTGTGGCCTTTTGCCTCCCTGGAGTCTTTGGGGCCCCCATCTGCCCACACCTCGAGCAAGGTACTGACTAGGCTGGACTCCTGCCGGTGGAGGTCTAGAGAACCAGATCGTTGCGGATTAGCAGATTAAATGATTTCCTTCATTACACAAAGATTTATTGTCTCCTAAGTAATGTTTTCTGCTAGGTACAGAATAATGTGATCTCAAGTGTTAGATTTAATTACCGGGTTTAAATATTATACATTTAGTTGCATGATGAAGCCTACCTGGTTTTGTTTTGTTTTCTTTTCTTTCAAACTCAGGATGGGCAGGCACTGTGCTTTTGAGCTAAATCTCCAGCCCACCTACCTGGCTTCCCCTGACCTCCTTCCTTCTCCCCTCCTTGGAGGGAAAATTCATATCCCTTCTTTGGGAAAAGGTCAGTTTTAGAAAACCTCCACCTTGTTTCTTTCCTATGTTCTTTCTTTTTCTTTTGAATTTGTCTGTTGTCTCTTTTTTCTGTTGCTCTAGCATTATCTGTGACGTTGTTGTCGCTATCAGTATTTTTTTAGAGATTTCACTAGTCTCCGGCCCAGGTGCCTGGGGGAAGCTCTTTTATCTCTTTCCAACTGATGAGACTGGAAAGGCACAGGAGTTTTTGATGGCTGGCTATTCAGGGAAAACGGCAGAGTCTATGTGGATGTCACTGTGGAAAAGTTTAAATATTACTACAAGTAATAGAATGGACAGCTGCTAATGTCTCAGTTTCTGCTGCTGGAGTTTAGTACAAAGCTAATTTTGAGTTGTGCAAAAAAGCATTCCTCTACATAGAAATGATTTCTGGGTGTCTCTCTACCTGTCTTACTCCTCAGTCCCCTCAGGAATGCCAGTGTATCTGCTCCAACCCTCATCAATTGATTTAGTCGTCTGTCTGCCTCTAGCTTGACCAATGGCAAGTTGCCTTCCTTTTTCTTAGAACAGAAAACATATTACCTGGTGTCACTTGTGACCTTCTAGGCAGCTCAGCATTTTTGCTTGCTGGGCCACTCCAGCATGTCTTTTGGTTGCTGGATGTGAGACATATTTTGAGAGCAAGATGAATCAACTGGAATATTTACACAGGTACGTTCCTGAGCTGCTGTGCTCCGCAGCTGTCTGACATTGTAAACCTCTTTGCCTTGTACTCTGAGTCTGCTAGGGATTTGTGGAGAGAAAAATAGTTACAGGTTAGGAAATAAAGGAGAGTTAGAGCTGGACGTGATGGCACATGCTTGTAATCCAAGCTACTCGAGTCTGAGGCAGGAGGATTGCAAATTCAAGGCCAGCCTGGACAGCCTACTGAAACCCTGTCACTAAATAAAAAATAAGATAAAATAAAATAAAGGGCTGCAGGTGTAGCCCCATGGGAGAGTACTTGCCTAGCATCTGTGAGGTGGGTTCAAGTTCTTGTATGGCAGGGAAAGGAGATTAGGAGAGGGATTAAACTTTTAAGTCAACATAATTGTTTCAGTTGACCAAATGTATATTTCTATTTATTTAGTTTTATTTTTATACTATTTAATGGCCAAGGTATTTATTTATTTATTTATTTGCGGCACCAGAGATTGAACTCAGGGCCAAGGTTTTAAAAAATACTTTTTGATTTTACTTTTTAAAATAACCATTTTTCTTTGCTTCTTAGGTTCCTTTTCTGGTGGCATGTGAAAACAAGGCCAGAATTATAAGAAATATCCACCCTGAGATTAAGGGAGCATAAGGCCCCAACGTTTTGTTTTGTCTTGTAGATAATGGGGGATGTTAATTTTACTGAGAATGGTGAAAAAGAACTTCAGAATGGGTCATGTCCCATGCTTTGAGTTACAGTGATAGCTTCCCTCCACCCTGTTGGGGACCCTCTTTATTGATTGCTGTTGAATGAGGGGATCCACCCTAAATCTATCGCAGGGTAAGAAAGTGCTCATAGCACCCTCTGCAGCGTCACTGCTGTATGTAGAGGTACTTTCTTAGGGTTCTTGTGGGGTCACCCTGCCTTTCAGGGTCTAAGACAGCACTGTCCAGCAGAATTCCTGGGATGGTCGCACTGTGTCTGCCTTGTCCGACACATGTGTCCCCTGACTGTATACGGCTGTTGCATGCCCTTACAGGGAGGCTGGTGCTGCTGAGGAAACTGGATGTTAAGTTTCAGTTAGCCTTTCCTCTGTTGCTTTTTAGGATTAGGGACTGAACTCGGGCTTCATGCGTGCTAGGCAAGTACTCTGCTACTGAACCGCATTCGCAGCTCTCCCTTGGCTTCAGTTAATTTAAATTTCAGCGCCATATGGCGCAGATGTGTTGGCAAGCGCAGGTCCAGAACATTGAAAATAATTAGTTCTGGATTTATTTAATTAATAACAGCCAATCCTGCAGTTAAGAGTAGTGGCACTGTGTAATCTAGTTTATAAGTAAACCTGGTACTTAATGAGTTAAGGGCTGTGGCTTTTACTTTTTAATTAGCTCTTAAAAACCCCCACACACAGTGCGGGGGAGATGGCTCAGTGGAATAAGCGCTTCCCTGGCAAGTGCAAGGGCCTGAGTTCAATCTCCGGTTCCACCAAAAAACCCAAACAAAACACACACAAAATTAAAAAATGCAACAGTGATTATTGTGTAGGGGTTTAATAAGTCAGTGTTTGGGCAGAAGAGCAGGAAATAACTGTCAGCTCCTGAGTCAGCCTGGCAGAGGTGACAGTCTCAGGGCTGGCAGCCTGTGGGCATGGACCTATCTTCACAGCCAAGATGTGTTGCACAGAGTAACCCATGAACCCTTGTGATGGGACCATCTATTTCCAGAAATTTATTCTGACACAGGAATGATGGGTTCAGCTATATCAGTGAGACCTGAGGTCGTCCCTGATACCTCTCAGAGGAGGGACAAATATGTTACTGACCAGCTACATGGTATGAACGGGGAAGTCAGCCACGCTGCAGTTAAACAGCTAAGACAACAGTGTGAAGTGGATGACTGCAGCCTGAAAAAATGTTGTAAGTTTACATATGCATCAAAATGCAAGGAAGTGCCCTGGCTGTGCAGAGGGTGTTACCTTGGAGTCCTAGAATCTTGGGGAAGTCTTTCCTGTCCTAGTGTTTCCTTTATTGTTTCTACAGTGTTGTTATTTGTGAAAATGAGACTGTACTGCTCATCTGATCTGGAGACATTTATCCCAAACAGAGATTTCCATTTGAAGAAGAAACGCACAGGTCATGGACTGATAGATGGATGTTGGTTGGATTTTTTTGAGGACATCTTTTTAGTAATTAAAGATAATTAGAGGGAATGACAAGAGTGGGTTGACTTTAGCGTGATGAACAGTATTCAGTCCAGATCGGATCACTGAGCACCGGGAGTATGAATGGAGGGTTCACCTTAGAGCTAGATGAGGAGATAGGAGTATGGTACAATCTTTGACCCAGCCCACCCCTGCATCCTAGAAGGTGATATAATAGCTTTATTGGGGACAGAGAAGTTCTGATGTACTGGGGAGGTAGAGTCCTGGGAGAAGCAGCTGTACGGGGTGGTGACCTGGGTGGTGGGGGCCAGGAAGAACTCACCATCAGGGCTCGGTGTAGACAAAGCCCTCTCAGAAATGTGAAGGCAGAGGGTTGAGAGGTGTCAGGTTGAGCGAAGGGCCTGGAGATGCAGGATGTTGTAGTGACCCCTGAGGTGAGCATTGTATGTATGTGGCTTTGGGACACCCTGACTTGGGGGCAGCTGACCTGCTTCTCAGAGCATACCATCCTGGCCCCATGCACACATGTGATACATACACAGATTAGCAAAAATGATGACAGACAGACATGTGTTTCAGTCTGGTGGAAAGGCAGAGAAGGGGTTACAAGGTTGGTTGGTCCCACAGAGCCCCTGGTCTGCTTATTCAATAGGGTTACCTCTCTTGGGGAACATGGACAAAGATAGCTGATAGGGAGCCCTAGACTCAGTGGGACCTTTGAAGGATTTGACCCTGATTAATCTGTATCTACTCTTAGCTATAGCTGTTCAGGTGCTGGGTCTGCAAGCCTGAGGCGATGGCATGGCAGTGAGCCAATTTGGGAGATCTTTCTAGGCCAGGGACTCCAGAGTGGGGGTTTGCAGATCAGAAGTGGGACCACAGCCTGGAGTCCCAGCTCCAGAGGCCCAAATTGTGCTGTTTTCATTACAGAAAATATATGTGGGAGATCAGCTTTTTGCGAAACTAGCATGAGTTTCACCGTTGAACCTGTAAGGGACCACTGCCATGCAGGGGATTGCTAGGCATTTGGGCAAAGTGCGGGAGTGGAGCGCCCTGGGTGGGGAGCTGGACCCTTGGAGCTGTCTGCTTGGAGCTGTGGCTGGAACCTTGGGAATGTAAGATAGTCCGGGAGGCTGGGGCCTGGGTCCAAGTCCATGGGTCTCCAGCCTGGGAAGACAAAAGGAAGGGGCCAGGTGGCAGCAGTCACGAACCTCAGGAGGAAGAGCAGAGAGAAGCCAGGATCAGGAAAACCCCAGGAAAAGGGGCTGGTCAGCTGTCTCTTGTTCCTTGGTGTGGTCTCACTTCTCTTACAACTTGACTTTTATCTAAGGTTGTGCACAGTGGGGAAGTGTCCTGGTTTTTATGGCTGTAACTCTCCATGGCAGAAAAAGAAAAAAACCAAAAAACAGACAAGTGTATTTTCAGTTCATTAGGTCAGAGCTGCTGGCTTTGGGTGGGAAAGCTTTAGAGGTGGATTCATGGGACTGGGGATGGAGTCCTTTCCTGTGTAGATCATGAAGGGTTTTCAGATGATGCAGAATTCCCGTGTTTGGCCTTTCTTTCTACTTGTATATTTTCCCCAAATATAAAGAAACTATTGTCAGAATTTGAATAATACAGCCTAGGAATAGTTGTATTGAGTTTAGAGTGTCCTACCGACTGATGATGCTGGCCTTGTAAAATCGCGTCCCCTTTTAGCTCCCAAATCTTGGGAGATGTTGACAGCTGGCCATTCCTTTTGTGGCACCTGAGGTCCATTTGCTTCAGGGACAGTGCAGTCTCTCTAGATAACCCTTTCTAGGCGTACAGACCCTCAGCTGCCCAGCCTCCCCCCACCTGCTGTCTCCTGCTTTCCCATATCCTGTAGATCCAGAAAGCCCTGGCTGGGGCTTTTCTATTTTTAGCTTCCTGAGCACTGGGGCGCTTCCTTCTCCCTATGACTTTGTTTTGCCAGAAGTTCTTTGAAAGATCTGAAACCAGCCTGGCAGCAGTACGCGCTCAGCCCGGCTCTGCAGCAGAAACTGTTGTTCAGCATTATACATCGACAGACTAGAGATTGAAGGTTCAACCTCTGTTCTTTGTATTATTTGGGGGAAAGAATGGAAAGATAAATAGCTAAAAAGAATAGGTACCACCTTAAAGTTTCAAAGAATTCAGGGTAAGTGTCCCATTTTTATCCATCCCAAGGAACCCTTTGGTTAGTGAGAGAGGACCGACTGTGTGTCTCCTGTCCATATCCATCAGATCTTTCTCACTCCTCTTTCCATCCTCAAATTGGCAGGGACAGGAAATCACTTGAAGGAAGGCCCAGGGGCATAGAGGGCATAGTGGCAGTGAACATGTTTCCGTAGAGTGTGAGGCTAAGGCTGCACACAGCCTTTCCACATCTGCCTCTGACCCCCGGGCACAGTGCACATGCATGGTCCTGAGGCCCTCGTCCTCTGAATGTCTGACCTGGCTGCCTGCCCCACCTGCTGCTTGTGCCCTGTGAGAGGGATGCTCAGAGGTACAGTAACATGCTGCTGGCTGTTGGAGACTGATAGCTAGGCTTGCAGCTCCGGTTTGCTTCTCAGTACTCGGCTCAGGGCTGCAGCGCTTGTGCTGAGAGGGCGCATTGTTGCTGCCTGTGTTCCACATGGCAGCCCTGGGCTCAGAGGACTTTGTGGGCGTTTGAACACTGAGCCTGGCAAGTCTTGAAAGAAACTTGGTTGACTTACTGATCTGAGTTGCAGGTGGAAGGACACTCCCCCTGCGCCTTCACAGGACAACGTGGAGCCACCAGAGCCTGTGGCACAGGGGAGGCACAGGAGATGAGCAGAGGATGCTGTGCTGGGAAGGAGGGGACCATGCAGTGACTCTTACTGTTCCTTTCTCAGGTCATCCAAAAGAGGGGAGTCAGAAGCCTCCCCTCTCTCGACCCAGAGGTTCTGTCTGTTTTTGTGCCTCCTTTTATCAGTAAAGAGGACAGCCAGGGACCTGCTACGAACTGTGCAACCCTAGGGAAGGGCAGGAGGCGCTCCTTCAGGAAGAAGAGAGAGAAGCCCAAGACAGAGGCCTGGAAGGGCCCCCCGACGGACTCCAGAGGTCCTGATTCTGAGGACATCAGCGTCCCAGGCGGTGTGGACCTCCATGCTCTGCCCCAACTGTGCTTTCCAGGTATGGTACATGCGGTGGCCAGCCTGAGGGCCTTCTGCTGGGTTGCCACACAAGTGGTCCACGTCCAGAGGTCTACAGGCTGAGGAAAGCAGGGTAGGGAGTGGAAACAAGGTTCCCCATCTAGTGTTGGGTCATGGGACTCTGGGTTCTATCAGCGGAGGTGAAAAAGCATTTAGTGCAGTCCCAGGGCTTAGAGGGCTGAGTCCAGAAGGGAGGCCGTGTGCGTTGCCAGGTAGTATGGTGAGCTTCCGGGGCTTTGGATACATTGCCACTTTGACTTCACAGGAAGTTAGTTTGGCTGCTGGAATGTCTCTGGGCCTCTTCTCTCTGCCATTTCTGTCTCTGTTTACTGGCAAAAGAGGCTCTGTTCACATTTGGTTGCCAAGTTCACAGTTCCAGTTAGTGGTGAGCTTGTGTTTCTGGGCTTCGTCATTTTTGCTGGTCTTGAGAAGAGTTAAGATGGGTGATGCAGGACACTCAGGTCCTATCAGTAACCTCCATTTTTTTTTTTTTTT